TTGTCTGTAGAGCTACAAAATTCATCTCTACAGGTTCTTAAGGTTGTGGTATGCAAGTTTTTATGTCATAACTACTATGACTGATCTTTTTTTCACCCTGAACTATACAGTTTTTAATGTCTATATTGCTGATTTAAAGCAGAAGCCTATGTAGACCATAGCTGCCCTTCCAAGGGTAAAGGAAGAGGAAAATTCAAGATGACTTTTTATTTCTTTTTATTTTTTTTCCCCTCAGAAACCCAACTTTTTGAGTACTTCCTACTGTAGGATGTAAGAATACGTCTTTTTGGCTATTGCTGTCCCCTGGTAATGTGATGGAGACATTCCAGGTGTGAGCTTTGGGATCTGGGAGCAGGGTGGATCTCAAGAGTGGATGAGTGGGGTGAAGAGGGAGGTGGAGAAAGAGAAGATTGTATTGATTCTTGAGTAAATCTCAGAAATCTGGAGTGATGCCAAGAAACTTCTGTCCCCTGTGTCAATTTTATTAAATTTTCAACAGTTTTCTTGGGTTCTCAACCTTCATTGATTAAAAAAAACCCAAAACAAAACAGAAACCAAACCAACAACAAAAGTCTGATGAGATGATGTTACTCAGAAGTTGAAATAAATGAGAGGAGGGGAAATAAGGGCCCATGATGCTTCTTCACGGTACTGGTGTGCGCTGGAAAAACGGATCGAGGGTTGGAAGGCATGGGCAGGCTTTTGATGGGTTTCTCTATGTACTTGTAGTATCCTTAGTGTACTTCTGGCAGGTAAGTATCATAGAATCATAGAATGGTTTGGGTTAGAAGGGACCTTAAAGCTCATCCAGTTCCAACCCCCCTGCCATCAGCAGGGACACCTTCCACTAGACCAGGTTGCTCAAAGCCTCATCCAACCTGGCCTTCAACACTTCCAGGGAGGGGGCATCCACAACTTCCTTGGGCAACCTGTTCCAGTGTCTGACCACCCTCACAGTGAAGAACTTCTTCCTAATATCTCATCTAAACCTCCCCTCTTTCAGCTTAAACCCATTTCCCCTTGTTTTGTCATTAGTTGTCCTTATGAAAAGTCCTTCCCCAGCTTTCTTGTAGCCCCTTCAGGTACTGGGAGGCCGCTATAAGATCTCCCCGGAGCCTTCTCTTCTCCAGTCTGAACAGCCCCAACTCTCTCAGCCTGTCTTCATAGGAGAGGTGCTCCAGCCCTCAGATCATCCTGGTGGCCTCCTCTGGACTTGTTCTAACTGCTCCAGGTCTTTCTTATGTTGGGGGCTCCAGAACTGGCAGTAGTAGTACTACAATAGTAGTAACTGCAGAACTCCTAACCAATAGTTGCACTGGTCCATGAGTTTAAAGTAGAATTTCTTATCTATAGCTCTTTGTAAGTAATAAATCAGGATATATATCATATGTTATACCGTGCTCATATTAATGCTTCTCTGGAAATTTGATAACTAAAAGATAATTTTCCCTTTTCATAGACTGAGTAATGTAGTATAAAAAGTTCTGAAGCATCTGAAAATTGGGGAAGTAATAAACAACAATATTTCTGGTTTGTTTGTTTTTTTTTATTTTCTTGAGGTACACCAGATAATGTCTACCAGAAATAAGCTTCACTCAGTGGAGTGTACAGAATAATCAGAGTTACTGGTTTGTGGTACTTAGTGCATTTTTTAGGCAAAGTATTCCTGTCCCTTATAGATAGAATCGTAGAATGGTTTGGGATGGAAGGGATCTGAAAGCTCCTCCAGTTCCAACCCCCCTCCCATCAGCAGGGACACCTTCCACTAGACCAGGTTGCTCAAAGCCTCATCCAGCCTGGCCTTCAACCCTTCCAGGGAGGAGCAGCCACAGCTTCTCTGGGCAACCTGTTCCAGTGTCTCACCACGCTCACACCAAATAATTTCTTTCTAATAACTCATTTCAAAATATAACTTCAAAATATCCCTTTTTTGTAATCTTTTGTCCTTAGGACTTTATCTACCAGTGATGATGTTGAGGACCGAGAAACTGAGAAAGGCCGTTTGGAAGAAGCTTATGAGAAATGTGACCGGGATTTGGATGAGCTCATTGTCCAGCACTACACCGAGCTGACCACTGCCATCCGCACCTACCAGAGCATCACCGAGCGCATCACCAACTCCCGCAACAAGATCAAACAGGTCAACACCAACTCTGCACCTGTTTCTGCTTTTGCTAAACCTGATAACGTGTGCTCTGGGTTCAAATCTGTGCAACTTCTCTTTATTTCCTGTGCACTGTTTTATTGACAGTGTAACGTTGTAAGCTCCCATTTTAACCTTTTATTTCTCTCTCTCTTTTCCCAGCTACTTGTCGTCGTTCTAAACTGAACTGGTAACTTGTCCTTGGAAGGGAGGTGCACAACATACAGAATAGGACAAGGGGTGATGGTTTTAAACTAAAAGAGGGGAGATTCAGATTAGATATAAGGAAAGAATTGTTTACAATTAGGGTGGTGAGACTCTGGCCCAGGTTGCCCAGAGAGGTGGTAGATGCCCCATCTCTGGAAACATTCAAGGTCAGGTTGGACGGGGCTCTGAGCGACCTGATCTGGTTGAAGATGTCTCTGCTCACTGCAGGGGGGTTGGACGAGATGACCTTGAAAGGTCTGGAGGGTGTCCCTGCTGATGGCAGGGGGGTTGGAACTGGATGATCTTGAAGGTCCCTTCCAATCCAAACCATTCTATGATTCTATGATTGGCAGCGTAATGTTGTAAGCTCCCATTTTAACCTTTTATTTCTCTCTCTCTTTTCCCAGCTACTTGTCGTCGTTCTAAACTGAACTGGTAACTTGTCCTTGGAAGGGAGGTGCACAACATACAGAATAGGACAAGGGGTGATGGTTTTAAACTAAAAGAGGGGAGATTCAGATTAGATATAAGGAAAGAATTGTTTACAATTAGGGTGGTGAGACTCTGGCCCAGGTTGCCCAGAGAGGTGGTAGATGCCCCATCTCTGGAAACATTCAAGGTCAGGTTGGACGGGGCTCTGAGCGACCTGATCTGGTTGAAGATGTCTCTGCTCACTGCAGGGGGGTTGGACGAGATGACCTTGAAAGGTCCCTTCAACCCAAACCATTCTGTAAAAATGGAATTGAGAAAGCCCTGTTACCCATTAATTCTGAACTAGCCCTGATTTTCAACTTGCTCTGTGACTAGGAATGGACTGTCTTGTCCCATCCTGATACAGTGCTCCCAGGCTATGTCTTACTAGCAACATGTTTTCCACAGGATCATAGAATCACAGAATGGTTTGGGTTGGAAGGGACCTTACAGATCATCCAGTTACCCCCTGCCGTCAGCAGGGACACCTTCCACTAGACCAGGTTGCTCAAAGCCAAAGGATCTTTCTCTTTTGTTTGAGAACACAAGTAATTAAAAAAAGGATATGGATATGAAGCCCAAATATGGATATCTACATATGTGGATATAAAGCACAAAGCTTTGTGTTACCCCCTGTTCATTTATTGTCTGGGCATGTTGCTATCAGGTTTTTGAAATCTAAGTGCTGCTGAGCTGACACCTTTCCATCTAATCATATCATGTTTTGATATGGTGGCCTCCAGCCACCTCCTAAATAGTCTGGGTGATTCCTCAGCTTGTTAGTTCATCAGAGAATATGAATTTTGGTTCTATTTCCAAGCTCAGTTCTGTTGTGTGAATGTACATGAACTCTGTTCCCCCCTATCTTTCTGTATTTTGAGTACTCACACTTCAGGAGCGTGCCAGTAAATAACTCTGGCACTCTTTGTTATGGACTTGTTCCATCTGCTCTCTCCCTGCAGCAATAGATGAGTTCTTTGGTCTCCTGTCCTAGCTTTTGCTTCCTGTTTTCTATACCTAAACTTGGCAAACTGGGCACCAAATTTATTCTGTTTTGGTTTTTTTTCTGTGGCTCTATGGAGGTCTCAGCTTAAAACCTTTCGCAGCAGTGCTTTAGGAGCAGTAGGCTTTTACCCTTTGGGGGCTGTGTACTGACCTTTCTGACTTTTAAAATTCATTTAACATTTTCAAAGAAAATGAGACCGTTGTGATGCTTTCCAAGGGTAAGAGTTCATTCTAGGATTTATGTACAAAGCTCAGCACTTCGAAAGCAGAGATCAATTGCACTAAGTTTGAAATAAACTGTAGCCAGTGGCTTGATTTCACACAGTGTACGAAGCTTTACAGAGGTCAAACCAAACATATAGAGGTGTAACCTTTTGGTCCCACCTCAAAGAATGACTGTAAAGGTGAAGGACCTTTTGATATTTAAGTTTTCTTATTAGTTTTGGTCAATATGTATTGAAGTAGCTTTGACCTAATCTCATGAGAGGCCCCAGATTTGATTTGTCATCAATCTGTATTACACCATCAGACTTTTCTTTTGATGTTCACCTCTTGTGGAACGTAAACGATCACACGGGCGTTTACTGGCATTAGGAATTTTGGACATGTTAGATAGTCCAGATCTGCCTGTGTAACCACCTTCTGTAGTTAATTCTTGTATGAATTCCTGTTGGGAAAGGCTTAGTTTTAAATCTAGCTTTAGAGGTGTTACTGCTGTAAAACTGAATTATAAAGTAGAAACAATTTGGCTTACCAAGGGATGGTTCTTTCTTAAAGACTTGCTGTTCGGTCCTTCCCCTGCTCCCAAATGTACATAGAGTTGATCTTCTTTCTTGCAAGGACTGGGGTATGAATGTCTTGTGAGATTCCTTCTATCCCCACGATTGTTTTGCTGACCTAATTTGGGTCTGTGTAACAGCAGTCCACTGATGATGGTGTGCTAGGTCAGTGAAACATTTTAAATTAAGGTATTGAACAGGGATTAAGTCTGAAATGAACTCTATGTGCGTTTTAGTTTTGCCTCTGCTTTTGTAGCAAGTTCTGACACTCTTGCATTAGCTCTTCTGTTGGCTGAGGATTTTTCTGTGTTATTCTTTTCAGAAGGACATTTCAGAGTGCAGTGTTACTTTATTGAAATATAAATCTCTTCTGACTCTAGGTGGAGGCTGTCTTACAGAACCATTGTTATTTATATGTATTTTGATCCATCTGTGTGTTTTACATGTTGGGTTTTTTTTTTTTAAACTACTTTTAGATGGACAAGGTAGGAGAATGTGCAGCTGAAGTGGAATTTCTGGAGTGCTTTAAAGGCTCATTATTTAAAAATAAATTGAAAGGCTTACTTCTGAGAGTCTTCATGTGTAATTCAGTGAGAGTTCAGCCTGAGAAAAGGTTGGACCCTAAGTATTCATAACTTACCACAAAAACAGGAGTAGTGTGAAAGCAATGTGTGAAGCTGTGTTGTTAATTGCTTCGACATTTTAATATGTATTATTAATTTGCATTATGCAAGAAAAACGAGGTTATACTGACCTTTCCAGAGGATATTGGGAGAACCTGTAAGCAGGGAATGTAAACTGAGTGTTTAAGCAGAACGAATGGGGAAGAAAACCTCTTATTGCTTCCCAAATGAGGTAGAATAGTAGAGACTTTGCCACTGAGAGAGGATGGCATGAGGCTGGAAAACAAAGGGAATGGCAAACACCAAGGTGTTTCTCTGGGTGATGTAACAGCCTCAATAAATAATGGAAATGCTGAATGTCTTGGCTGCTATTTGTTCTGATGAAACCATATCTCTTCCAAAAATAACTGGTATTCCTCAAGGTTTTAGGAAAATGGTTGTACTCTTAGATAAGTCAAGTTTCAAGAGATGGACACCAAACTTAAAGAAAGGAGGAGATGTGCCAAAAGAATTAATAGGCAGCTGGAAAATGTTTACAGCAGAAAAATTAATAGTGGCTTATTTGCTTTCACTGAAAATTGGATTCCTGTTGTGTGCCAAAATACTGAATTGATTTTTGGAAAATGTGCAAATAAGTCTTTGGTCATAGGATCCTGCATTTGTTCATGTTATGATAGATCAGTTGAATTTCCACTAGTGGTACAAAACTTGGATTAAAAACCATTTGACTATGAAAGTAGTTCTGGTTTGTATGTACCACATGTTTCCTTTCAGCCAAAGGAATAACCAGGGATTTTAAGGAACTTGGATTTGGTTATAGTCTTGTGATATTTTTGTAATTCCTAATATCCTAAATGTGAGAAAGGGCTGATCTGTGTTAGAAGCACCAGTTACAGGGACAGATTTAATTAATCTTTTGACATATTGCTTGTAGGTGAAGGAGAATCTGCTGTCGTGCAAGATGCTGCTGCATTGCAAACGGGATGAGTTGCGCAAGCTGTGGATTGAAGGGATTGAGCACAAGCATGTCCTGAATTTGCTGGATGAGATTGAGAACATCAAACAGGTGCCTCAGAAGCTGGAACAGTGCATGGCCAGCAAGCGCTACCTCAACGCAACAGACATGCTGGTAAGATGTGGTACTTAATGCTGGGCCAGTACCCACCAGAAACACACTGGTCAGCTGTCTGATTGTCTGCAGGCAGATCTACTACCTGGACCATTAGGTGCTTTTTTTTCCTGCTTCATTTCTTTCTTTATCATTTGTTGCTTTCTTGCACTGGAATTTCACAGAATCACAGAATGGTGGGGGTTGGAAGGGACCTCAGGAGATCATCCAGTCCAACCCCCCTGACAAAGCAGGTTCCCTA